GTCGCGCTAGGAAATAAGTAAAACAGGAAATCTTCGAAAGTCCTCAGAAATATGATTTTTTTTGTCTTATAATATTCGGGAACTTTTGAAGTATGGACAAAATTTTCTTTTTGAAACATCATGCAGTTTAACGTGACCTTTGTGCAAAAACTCTTCGTATATCAATTAATATAACAGTATATACATATAATTGCGCACAAAATTCGTATAGTTCAGAATCCTTGAGTGCCGCAGATACCCAACGAATGCCGCGCAGAAAGCTAAAAAAAAAACCATCAGGCACCTGTGCAACATATTCCATTTGTAAAATTTATTGCAACTAACTTTCTATATATGAAAAGCAGAAATTAATATCATTTGATCGGGACAACCACCGATAGACCGGTTTCGGACTACTTGCTTCTCGTCATGAAGTCCTGCATTTCCTCTGGTAAGATTATCCTATTTGCAGATGTCTCAAATTATTCGCCAAAATAACCCCTTATGATGATGCCTTCAATAACCAGAGTGATTTGAATGAAATTGCGAACTGGTGCTGCTCAAATGGTACGATCATGAATATTGACAAATTTCATGTTATAATAATAATAATCAAAGTTAAAGACCTAAAAGGCATAAAACAAGTCAAAAGAAATTTGAACATAGATTAAGCAAACAATACATACATACTTTGAAATGCTATAAGGAGCAGAGAAAGTTCACTACGAAGATAAGAACTCGTTTATTGTATAATACGAATTATCCAGTAAGTATGTTTTCAGCGTTTTTCTGAAAATCTGAAATAAAGATACCTCCTGATCGATTTTTGTCAATAGGTGATTGTAAACCCTAATTCCATTGGAAATAGGGCCATACAAGCATATATTTAACTGATTTTGGGGTGTGTAAAGATGATGACTGAATCTTGTTGCGTAATTGTCATTATGATAGGGAATTTTGTTTCTGTTTTTATGTATATAACAGGAAACTTCCAATATATATATATATATATATATATAAATATATATATACAGAAAAGTGGGAGTATATTCAATTTTTTTAAAAGAGGTTTGCATGATTCTCTCTGATTTTTATTTAACATTGCACGTATGCATTTTTTTTGTACTAGGAATAGTTTTTGTGCTGAAGACGACATGCCCCATAACAAAATTCCATATGATAGTCGGGATTGTAATTCCGCAAAAATATTATGGTGTTTTCGTTTTTGTATTTGATATTGACCTTTCCAAATAGGGTAATTCTTTTGAAGAATATACAGATCTTTCAACTGTACACTCGACCTTTTGATTTCATCGGTGATCCACGATTTTGGGACGTTTTTGAAGATTTCTTCTTCATTGGCAATGTCTTAAAGAAATGACTTTGTAAAGAGAATTTTTCATATTTATCATATGTATCGCGCCAAGATTCGTTTTGTAAAATTTGGGCAGAGTATTTTATTTTTATTGCAATAGTCTCCGAAACATTTGACCTCTTCAATATGTTTACAGTATAACTTATGTGAGTTGATTTTAACAATTATTGTACTATGATCAGATAAGTGGTTATCCATAACATATGTACATGCTTCAGCATTAGTAAAAATATTGTCAATTTTTGTACTAGAATTTGATGATATTCTTGTATCCTGATAAACAATACTAAGAAGGCCGTATTGTGCAAATATATCAAGTAGTTCCTCTCGTTCATGTGATTAGATGTTGAAATCTATATTTAAATCACGTAAGACCCATAAAAGTGAGTTTATGCTAAATATTTGGTCTAACATTTCCTGAAGTTTCTGGCAGAATAAATGGAAGTTTCCTGTTGGTGATCTATAAATTGTAACTATTTTATGAGTTTCAAATACACATCCACAACATTCAAAAACTTTTTCAATACTTAGGTTATTAATATTTAAAGGAGTTGTCACAAGTTCTTGTTTTGCCCACAGGGCAGTACCTACCACCGCCCTTGTACATACCGCGACAGTATGCACTCGCAAGGTTATATTCATCAGTTGAAAAATTACTTACTTCAAAGTTCTTTAACAATGATTCTGTTACTGACAAAAACATTGGTTGCTGGACAGAAAGCTCTACTTCGATCAAACTCTGCTTGCTTCTTATACTTTGCATATTTGCATATAAAATGAAGTTTACATTCGTTTCGTTACTATCGTCAATATTTTTGCTTTTGCTATCTATAAAAAATTTATGCTATTCCTTTGAGCATCCATTTACTGACTATAGCGCCTGCAGTCAAATCTCCTGAAACCTACTCCTATGGGCCAAAATTCTGGTGTATATAATTTTTTTTGTGGGAGAAGTCAGCCCCCACCATGAAACATTTCAGATGGTTTGAATCTGTTTGCAGCTCTTGAACTGTGACATCACTATTTTCTTCCCCTTCTGGTTCCTCCGGGTGAAGCTTTTTCGATATGAACTTTTTTATTTGGGTTACTCTGTATAGATATACCCATACTTTCGGATTTGCCCCTGTGAAGTCGGTTTTATCTTCACTGATGCCAATATATTCAGTTGGATTTCCTGATTTTCTATTTATGTTGTTATGGCGTCGACTGTTTCTACTCTTAGGGCGTACAACATTTTTTCCATCATCACTGTCACGGCCAGCGATATCATTAGTTTCCCCTTGATAGATGATTTCATTCATCAAACTCACTTGTTCTAGTTCGATCTTACTAGGCATCCCTGTTAGTTCAGGTTTTTGTGGTAAATCATGTTTATTTACAATTCGTTGGAGAGCTGGGGGATTCCTTGCTGGGTAAAAAACTTGCAGATGTATGAGTTCTTTTTACACTTTGACTGGATTTTGTTCGGTTCATTTTTCGTTGGTGGCTTATCTGTTGTGTTTTTATAATCCTTGAGTTTTTCTTCTAGGAAGTGTTCACCTGTAAAATAAACAGTGTCAGTCCTATGGAAAATATGTTTTCCAGTGCCATCTCGTACCACCAGACTGTCATATCCACTTCCATCGAACCAACTTTGGTTACAGGAGTTGTCTTCCACGTATCCAAACAAATGGATTCCATCATATTGATTTTTTTCATCTCATCTAAATCTAAATTCAAAACTCATCCCAAATTGCATGTCATTTCACCATGTCTGAGAGAATTTTTATTATTAAGATATCGTTTAGAAGTGTCTGTCCAAAAACACACAAACAAGAGAAATCAAGTCATTCGACGATGACAGTACGTAATGACATCCGTAATCCCAGCCATAAGAATATCTTTAATATTGAAAGAAGAATTCAAGAAACACTTTACTATGTGTTGAAATATCACAATAAAGTGTTTTTTGAATACGTCATGGATTTTTGTATACAAAAAAAGTAGGAACTGCCGAAAATGAATACACTTCAAGGATGGTACAATTCCATAAAACTGCAATTCTATATCAATTATCTCAGTGTAGTGTTCTTGTGAATAATATGTTTCAGTTCCAAGATGAATGCTCGGAGTACGAACTGGATGAGGAAAATAAATTTTCTTGCAGTTCAGTGTTCATAAGAATACTTTGTGTCTGAAAGAAACTTTCATGTATAAAGCGAAATTGCTGTATTTTTAGGAGAGATTCATTTTTGGAAAAGGACGTTTTTGGCTTTTTTCTTCTCCATCTTAATATAAAAAATGAGGGAATCTTACAAAGGAAAGGAAGGAAGCAATCAATTTCAAAAAAGTTGAATCTATACAAAGATGTATAGATCATGCGAAGAAGTAATTTTCAGACATAATCTGAAAGAAAAAGCCTCAACAGCCACTTTCATATAAACATTGAATTACAGGAAAGAAAATTACTTTGAGAACAAATACTTTATTATGAATACTGACTTATACAAAGAAGACTTTTGTCTATTCAGTTTGTATTCCAAACATTCGTATCAGAATCGAATCAGATATCATTCACAGGACTGCTACCCGTTTCTTGTATCAAAATGGAGAAGAAGAAAGCCAAAACCTTTCTTTTATGTATGTTCTACATCTACGCATCGCATTTCTTGCGGAGTTCACACATTTTTTGTATAAAGATAGACAAGTAGAAGAACAAAAGGCTTCATGATGAGTACAATGAAGTATTTTTCTGAAACACATCCATATCAACATATCCAAATGTAAAAAAACTAATTAATATAGTTTATTGTATGATTTTCACTATAAAGGGTTTTATAAAAACCGCGACACGTGTTTTGCTATACAATAGCTTCCTCAAACAAAAACCGCGTGTCGCGGTTTTTATAAAACCCTTTATAGTGAAAATCATACAAAAAACTGTATCAATTAGTTTTTTAATATGGATTTTCGTCAAGTACCGGCCAGTTTTATTCAAATATATCCAAATGTAACGTAATGTCCTACTCACTGAAAACGAATCTGACATTACACAACTATGTCGTAAACAATCAAGTTCTGGAGCGTCCTGACACACTCACTGATCTAGGTGTTACTTTTATTCAATTTCTCTCTTTCAATAAACATATTGACACTACTCTGACAGCTGCTTATCGCGACAAAAGATTTCGAAAAAGCTTCAATATTGAAATTACTTTATTCCACTTTTGTTCGATCTAGGCTAGATTATGAATCTGTTGTGTGGAGTCCCTACTATCAGGTTCATATAAATCAATTAGAAGCCCTACAGAGACACTTCCTAAAATATATGTCTTTAAAACTTGAAGGCACGTATCCTACTGTAGGAATACCCTATTATGACATGCTTGAAACTCACAATTTTTGTAGTCTCGAGGTAAGGCGTAAATATTATTCATATCTTTTTTTACATTAAGATGCAAAAATTTCTCCATCTAGAATATCAAAGATTGGAAAATATGCAAAAATAAATAAACCTAGAAGAAAAATAATATTTGTTCGAAGGTTATACTTTGGTAGAAACTATTATGTGGGTTAGACAGTAGATTAAAACATGGTGAAATGAAATCTAAAACTAACAATGCTGATCACTTGTTCAATTCTATCATCTATGAAAGAATACATATTATGGAATATGAGATACAGTTAAATTCAATTTAATTATAAACTTATTCAACAATTCACAATTTCTCTTCTGGTCTTAATTTTACCACCACTTCGGAAGCGTTCCATATTCCTTCGCAAAAGGCTTTGTTATAAGCTCCTCTTGGCTTTGGAGTAGGTGTTGTTTCTCCAAAGTATTTTCCAGTTACACCTTCAACATCTTTAGAAATTGCTAGATGAATAGCAGTTTGTGCTCCTTCTTCTGGTGTCTGTAAAAGATGTCAAAATCAATCTAAAAACCAAAATATTCCCATGGTGTGGAAAAAACTGTTAGCGAGGAAATTACAAGAGTAATATTCCAAATCCGTCGTGACTGTCTCTTTATAATTTAAAAATTTCAACATTATGTTCAATGATCATAACATATTTGAAATGTGACGTTCTATCGGCACTTGAAAAAAAAATGAAATTACATGTTTTCTCATATTTTGAAATTGTCAGAGACAAAATTACTAGAATTTTTAACTAACATGTTTGTATTTTATTCATTCGACTTGGACGAATTAGATTCAATTTGATTTTAATCTAATCTAATATTACTCAAATGTATTGTGAACATTCATCATTAGAACATGTTATATTGTGNAAGATTCATATCAGAAATTTTCTGACATACCTACCTTGAATCTTATCTTTCCTAAATAAGGTTCTAGAATGATTTGGAAGTTTAAAGATCACAACTAATCGAGAAAGAAGCGACTGAAGGTGCAAAGTGCTTGATAATAGTCGATAATTAGGGCTATAATGCAACCGATAATACAATAGTCCGCAAACAAGTGATTTATTTAGGCATGATGCATGAATAATTTCAATTCCTTCAAGCCATGCCACATCAATATTAGGTCAACTGTTTCGTTGATGATCTTCAATTCCAATGCATAACAATCATTACAACATTATATGTAGTAAGCAAGATTCATATCAGAAATTTTCTGACATACCTACCTTGAATCTTATCTTTCCTAAATAAGGTTCTAGAATGATTTGGAAGTTTAAAGATCACAACTAATCGAGAAAGAAGCGACTGAAGGTGCAAAGTGCTTGATAATAGTCGATAATTAGGGCTATAATGCAACCGATAATACAATAGTCCGCAAACAAGTGATTTATTTAGGCATGATGCATGAATAATTTCAATTCCTTCAAGCCATGCCACATCAATATTAGGTCAACTGTTTCGTTGATGATCTTCAATTCCAATGCATAACAATCATTACAACATTATATGTAGTAAGCAAGATTCATATCAGAAATTTTCTGACATACCTACCTTGAATCTTATCTTTCCTAAATAAGGTTCTAGAATGATTTGGAAGTTTAAAGATCACAACTAATCGAGAAAGAAGCGACTGAAGGTGCAAAGTGCTTGATAATAGACGATAATTAGGGCTATAATGCAACCGATAATACAATAGTCCGCAAACAAGTGATTTATTTAGGCATGATGCATGAATAATTTCAATTCCTTCAAGCCATGCCACATCAATATTAGGTCAACTGTTTCGTTGATGATCTTCAATTCCAATGCATAACAATCATTACAACATTATATGTAGTAAGCAAGATTCATTTCAGAAATTTTCTGACATACCTACCTTGAATCTTATCTTTCCTAAATAAGGTTCTAGAATGATTTGGAAGTTTAAAGATCACAACTAATCGAGAAAGAAGCGACTGAAGGTGCAAAGTGCTTGATAATAGTCGATAATTAGGGCTATAATGCAACCGATAATACAATAGTCCGCAAACAAGTGATTTATTTAGGCATGATGCATGAATAATTTCAATTCCTTCAAACTTGGCACGTTACTCAGAGAACGGTTGATTGGCTAAATATTCATCCAAATAGGTATTGGCTCCTCAATCTCGATTAGACGGTAACTTTCAATGATCTTTGTATAATCTGAAGGTGCTTGAGTATTTTATTTTGATAGTTCAGATATCCAACCTTCTTACCTTCCCATATAGAAATAAGAGACATAGCAGGAAATACACCAGTAGACTCTCCCATAGTCCTCGAGCGTCCCTGACGGCTTGGTTTATTATTCCCGTGTTCACAATTCCGGGATGATAAGCGTTGGAAGTTATATTGAATTTTTTCAGCTTCATGGCGAAAATATCGGACACCAATATCTGCATGAATTTGGAATTGTTGTAATCAAATATTTTCATCTTCTCTTTGATTTTTCCATTTTTTGCATCATCTGAAGAGAAGTTGTGGAAGTGTGATAAAGCCGAACTCGTGAAGACGATTCTACCAGATGATGATTTTTTCAGCAGATCTGTGAAAATAATAGATGAGTGACTTACTGATTTTAACTCGACTATATCTATATTTGTTTTGGACGTCAATGGACCTCCTACCCTCCTAATTTTTAAACGGATCAAGATATTTAAGTCTGCTGTAATTTCCGGCATACGTAAAGCGTGAAGATACTGGTATATTTATCTCTTTTTTTTCAACCGAGCACAACTCGAGAAATTCTGTTGGAGTTTAACTTTCGTACCCAGTGACATACGGTTCATCCAAATGGAACTTCAATTTTCCAAAAGATGGGGGTATAGAAAACCGCCCTGAATCTTCTAATTTATCAACGATGGATTAAAAAAAACTTTCAAAACGCTTGCATTCTTCGGAAATCATTCCTTTCGTAATCAACAATTAGGTATAACAAAAGCTATATTAGAAGAAAATCAAGTGAATGAAAAGTAACATACAAACCTCAAGAATGTTGCAGAGGCTTGAAGAAAACATAATGGAACACCTTTATCGAAAGGTAAAATCTCCAATCCAACATGTGAGGTACAATTCGTTTCATGTAAAATCCAGCATCCAACATAGGTGATTCAGAATCGAAACTTATTGACAATAAATTATTTATTAGTACAAAAATGATTCATTTGAACGTATCGAAAAAAGTGTGTTTTACCCATGGAAGTAGAAACAAATGAAATGTGCATAAGTTATACTATAGGCACATGCAAGTGAAGCCTGAAGTGCGGTAAGGAGTATCGGCCCCGAAGGCAGATCCGTACTTATATTAAGTTTAAATACAAATATAAAATCGTATGAATAATTATGAATTTGTTGCTAGTTGAAGTCATATTAGGACAATAATACATTTATTCAATGGTTCACAACACAACAAAGTTTTTGTTTCGGGGTTGAAATTAGATGATTTTAATGTATTTCCACGTGTTAAAACCGAAAGTGACCATAAAAATTATATATTAGCTCTTGTTTTCAAGATATAGTATCATTATATTATATATATGTATATTGAGTTTTCAACAAATGAAATATTTCATCACCAACAGTTGGTACACATGTTTGTTTACATAACACCCCTCTCATCAGCTGTTCTTNATGAAATTTCATGGAAACTCCAATTCCATGTGAAATTTAATTTTGAGAAAACAATAGTCTAGCAGAGAATGTGCAATTCATTGTGCTCATTTGTAAGTTATTTAGTAAAATTCTAAAGTTGATTGCATAAAATAATAAAGAAAATGTAACTTTTTTGCGAGTACGGTCCATACGATTCTGCAAATTTTAATGGCCTCGAACAAACAAATATTTTATTACCTTAATATGAAATGTCACACCAAAAAATGCTGAATACCTTTGTAAAAGAAGTGAACTACACGAATACTGAGTCACAACTAATGCGCTTCGATTTATTTTACCATAAGTGTACCATACTTCAATCGTCACTCGGCGATTTGAGTGCTTATTTCCTTGGTTTCTACTTTCATGGTTTTACTAATCCTCTCAAATCCTCGCTTTTCATACCGACATAAACGATCGCTCGCTCAAGCAAAACGGAACGTAGTTGTTTTTGAAATGATTTTTCGAAAGAAAACATATATACAGGATGTTCCAAAGAGAATAAACAAAACTGAAACATTACCGAGCCAAAACCGTTCTGTCTGTCATTTGAAAACTGAAAAACCGACACTTCCGAAAGTAGAAATTAAAATGAGGTATAAAATCAACAAAAACACAAGGAATCGTCAACAGGGACAATCGCACATTTATGGTTTTTGTTATACTCCTTCGTTGAAATGGAAAAAAATTTAAAAAAAATCATATTTACCAACAAGTAAATGAGTCAGGAGAAACGAACTGTAATGATTTATCTGTATTGTGGAATTCAAACCATCTTCAGTTAGAGCATCGGGCCCCTTGCCTGTTCCAGCATTGTTAATTAGAATATCCAACTTTTTTTCTGATTTCTTCAGTTTTTCAGCCAATCTCCTCACGGAACTGAAAGATATCAGGTCCACAAATTCTAGAGATATGTTTTGGTTCCCCGTTTCCCTGATCAGCTTGTCTCTAATGTCTTCACTCACATTTTTGTCAGCGATTATAACTTTGCACCCCCTGGATGCCAAATTAAGAGCAGTTTGAAATCCTATTCCTGAAAAAATAAATAACGTTCAAATTGAGATTTCAGAATGAATTTTAGAGTGTTTTGAGTATATACTAGGAAGAAAGATTTCGTTGCCAACAAGGGATAGAAAAACATTTGATTCATTGCAAATAAATTCATAAAAA